GCTGGTCAGGTGGCTTTTCCGGACTCCCACTTGTACTTTTTAGGATTTACACTGAACAAAGACAAGTACCAAGAGTCGCGAGGATTTTCAATAAAAGAGAACAAATAAAGAGGAATACATTTTTTTAATCACATTTGTAATTTCAGTGAGAAGCTTAAAACGCAGTAAAGGAATCATTTCTTCCCCCATAAATCATATATATTGTTGATCAGCATTAAAAGCCAAATCGAACTAGATAGGTTTGGACAAAAACTAATTTTTTCAAAATTTTGAATATTTTTTAAGGGGTTACATCATTAAAATTGTCAAAAATTGGAAAAAAAAATTTAGTTTTAAACTGAGTACGCAGGTTTGTTAACCTATGAAAAATTAGTATAGAACAATTTTCCGAATTGAAAATAATTAATGTTTGGCTTAGTTATGATTTTTGAAAAATTTTAATTTTCCCCAAAATATTAACATACATATATAAAAATATTGTTTTTAAGACCCCATAATTGACATTTTTTAGGTCTCCTTGCTGAATGAGTCATTTCCGACCCCATAAATCATATATATTCTTAATCAGCATCGAATTCCGAGTCGATCTAGCTATGTTTCAACAAAATTATTTTTTTTCAAAAATTTAAAAAATTTTCAAGGGGTTACATCGTTAAAATTTTCATAAATTGATAAAAATTTGAATTTATTTAAATTCTACATTGAGCATGGAGCCTTATTAATCTAATAAGAAGTAGCACAAAACAACTTTCCGAATTGAATTTAGTACATTTTTGGCTTAGTTATGATATATTCATTAATTCTGGTTTTCCCAAAAACGGAAATCAACAAATTTATTTAATTGAAATTATTATGATTTGAATGATCAAAGTACACGACCTTGGGCTTCCTAAATTCTGTTATTCATTAGCTTAATAGCATAAAGTCCTTGACTGTATTCAATTTTTTTCGCCAGTGTCCGAAGCAGCAACAAAAGCGGCAACAGTCGCTTCCTGTTCGTGGCTTGGCTGCCGCCGGAAGCGGAAACGGATGTGGATGCGTGTGCGTGTGCGTGTGCCTGTTCAGGTTCAAGCGCGGCAAGTGCAACTGTTGCAAGTGAAAAATGCAATGGCAATGGCAACAGATGCAGTGACCCACTAGTGGAAATGGGAGTGGAAGTGGGAGTGGGAGTGGGAGTATGTCCGTGTGGAGTGGATTTAAGTGCAAAACGCATCATGTGGTTAATGCACTTTAATTGCTGTTAGTCGACCCAGGCCACCGGGTTGCCAGTTGCGGCCTGCCCAGGCAGCTAAAGTCCCACTAAATGCCGTACCTGCCCTTGCGCGCCATTTAACTTGATTAAAGCTCGCATTCGGGCCAACTTTGAGGCACTTCTAAGCGGTAACAAAAGCAGAGCGCAGCACTAAAACGTAATATCCAAGCGCTGTAAAATCAACTGGAAAAACCCGGGGCGAACCAGTAAATCTACGACACACAAAGGAAATGTTACAGCGCGCAGCCTCCTGCTCCTGCTCCTCTTGGCCTTCTCCGGCTCTATTCCCTGGTGTGCAATGAAAGCGTTAATAAATTTCATGAGTCCTCGCATAAAAACTTCCGTCCAACGCGCCTTTCCGATTTAGCCGGCATTTCTCTCTCGCTTTGAAATGCAAATTCTGCTGTCGCCCCCCTTGAAAAATGTAAATCACATTTACAATCAGATTAAATCTCAATAAGCATTGGACTAAAATTCAAATGCCATTTTGCCATTAGACCGCACAAATATTGTCACAGAAATCAAGGCCCTCCAGCTGAGTTTTCCCCTCCAAACACACACACATATGGCGCAGCGGGTGTGCTTTCACCTCTCTCTCTCTCTCTCCTTTGGCTTTTTTGTATTTATTTTAAAACATGGCAGCAAATGCCGAGCAACACGAAAATGTTGCATTGAATTAACATTTAGAGAACACAACAAAAACCAGAACAACAACAGCAAAAAAGGCTGCCGTGTGTTCAGCAAACAACAAGAACTCAGGAGCTACATGTTACACATTTTTAATGTTCTCCGAAATGGCGCTTCAAAAAAATAAATATACATATATAAAATTTATATAATATCATTTTGCAGGCAAGGGAGGGAAATGCAAACTAAAAATAAATTAATGCAAATAATTTACAATGGAATAAAGTGTTGACGTGGGAAAAGTTTTCCCTGGGAAATTTGCATAAAAAACTTATTACGCATTTCGCTTTCGCTGTGCGACAGGGGCGAGAGGAGGAGAGAGAGCTCTTCAGCACCTGGTGGGAAAAAATCCCCATTTTAGTGGAGTGCACACACTTAATTGATCTCAGTGTATTAAGTGAATGTTTATGCAGTTTTCAAGCGCTCTTAAAAACTTATAAATACCTGACTCACCTGGACATGCTATACAGTCACTATCTCTGGCACAAAGTCTCGGAAACTGAAAAATAGCGTTTATTTTTGAGTTGAGAACGATAAAGCGGGGTAAGCACAGCCATTTGTTTGATTTATCACTATTTTATCGTGACTACAAAGCTGACTCAACAAAGTTTATAATAATTTGTAGGCGGAATGAGTTATACTTTGGGTTTTTTAAAATTATTTTATGAGTATCTATAATATCTTTTATATGTTCTTATATAAGAGTTTGAATTAAAATTGTAGACTCAAGGATTGTATTTTCCATTGTCGGAAAGCCTGCAATTCCCATTAAATTCTTTGTTAAACGTGCAGTATTTTTCCCTACAGAAACTCATCTGTGAAATAAGAGTTTGCTTTAAGGATTCATCCCCCGCCTTCTTCCTGCCTCGGTGTCCTGTGCCATGCTCTTTTCCGGCTGCACTCTTAAAATTAAAACTGCCATTGTGCGTGACTGTCTAGACCGCGCATTTATTTGCCAGTCGAGTTGCAGCAAACAAAGGAGGTGACAGCGGCAAAGGCATTACCAACAACGGTGGCAAACAATGCGCAACAATATCCATATCCCATCCTGGCCATTCCATTTTTAATGACAGCAGTCAGCGTGCCCCGTGCTCGTATTTAAAGCGACACTCGAGCTGAGCTGTCTCCCCTCATAACTCGCATAAATCATTGCGCTTTTCGGGCCTGTGTAATGAAAGTCCTTAACAGCCACTCGAGATCTCAACAGATCCGAGGCAGAGGCCGAAACTGAAACAGAAGCTGGAACAGGCTGGAACAGAAGCCGCAGTGTAAAGCCACTTCAAGCGCATTACATGACTTACCACTCCAGGAATACGGCGGAGGAACAGGAGTCACTCCCACCCACAATACGGGGGATTGGCTGAGGGACTGCGGGACTGAGAGACCATCAGACAAAATGATATGACACCGGCAGCGACAACCCAATCTGATTTTGGAGCGAAGAGGAACCGTGACTTGTGGCTTACCTCCGCTCGGTGGGACTGTCAGGACAAATAAAACGGCTGCCCACATTCAAATTAGCACTTGTCGCCCCGTTAAATCTGGCTCCTGGGAAGTTCCGGGGCGACCAGATGTGCCTGGCAGCCAGTGCACTGGGGGAAAATATATATATAGTTTAAAATAAAAAGAGAAAAACATTTCGATAAGGAATAATCTAGCATTGCTTTATCAGTTTGTCAAGAGTTATATCATCTTTATAATAGCTTACTTTCAGATTGATTGATTTTTCAATTGTAAACAAATATTTATGAATTGCCAAAGCTAATTGATTGGGTAAAAATTCTAGGAAAGTATATTCATTCATACTTTATTATCGCAGGAAATTATTATCTAACCGAATCTTGAAGTCAAAAACAAATATATTGATTTTAATATACATTCCCAGGATAATGTGTTCTATTATTTCCAGTGCATTTCAACCGAAAGTTGTTGTTGAGCCACCTTTCCCGTTCCGCCTGCAGTTTATGCTTTTGATAAATCGTTCGAGTTGCGACGACTTTTCCAAAGAAGGTGCCAGGAACAATGTCTCAGCTTATAAATCTTGTTTGGTCTATCGCAAGATGTATGTGAGCCGGCACACGTGGAATCCGGGGAGGAGGTTCACCAGCTTTGTCTCCTTCAGAGCCCCTAGAGTTGAGTGAGTGTGTGTTTTTGATAAATACACAAGTGCCAAAAGAAGCCTTTTGGCTCCGCCCCAGGCTCTCAGGGACTGAGTCTCCCAATTGAGTTGAAAATGTAGCTGAATTCAGGTTAGGCACGACTCTAGAGCGTGAAAGGCTAATTAGATGGCAGTCGATTTATTCATTAAGAGGCAGCAAACTTTTGTTTTTTGTTTACCTGCCAGTAAGTTATTTTCAATCGTCGATAGTGGTGTGTTAGATCGATACACAAATGCGGCCCAAAGTTGATAACTGAATTCATGGCAATTTGGTTTTCTACTTTCAGTGACCTTAGCCACAGCGAAATGAATTATCAGGGTTTCGTGCAATCAGTTATTGATTCTGGGAACTGGTCAGGAGTTCTTGGAATATGCTTAAATCCGGGAGGCCCAGCTCTTTGATTTATAGCCATGTAATCGCTAGATTGGAATCATCGCCTCGAGTGGCTCTCCAAAGTGATCGAGTAAATTCGTAGAGATTCAGATTTCGTGATTCAGCAAGGCCGCCAAATATGGGGTCTTATATCACAATATTTTTATATATTCCAGATAAAGCCAGCAGACTGCTAGACCCCAGAGACCCTAGAGACCCCAATGGCGTTATCATTCCGGCAACATGGAACCCTCTGATTGGAGTGGGAGTGAACCTGGCAACTGCTTATCTCTCAGCCTCGTTCCGAGAGATGAGTTTTAGCCCTGCAGAAAGCCAATTAGATGTACATTTGTCTTGTCTTCTTGTTTGGTTTTCTATCTTATCTCCAGTGCATTGCCAATTAGATGAGGTTACCTGGCACCTAATTTTAGCACCAAAAGCACCAGTCTTCTTCTCACTTTGAGGTGGTATAAAAGAGGCTGCAGATTGTCAATTGGCAGTAATTGAATGAGATCAGTTCCAAAACGAAAATGAAGCTCTACACACAAGTTATCCTGCTGGCCGTGACCCTCTTCAGTGTGAGTTATTATATAGATATATTAATGGAAATGATGCCTCTCTAGAGTTTGTATAGTGTAATCAACTATCACCTGATTGAAAAGCAAACGTGTACTCCAAGTAAATAAATTTCTTGGCGCGTGTCTAGTGCTATCTTTGGTTATAGTATAAATATATTAGCCGTATACTTGACCAGTAAGCAATATACTATATTAAAATGATAGTGAAGCGCACAAAGTACAATGACAGATTAGAAAACTTAACTAAAAATAGAAACAAACTCGTTGATATGGGTTGGAATTGTTAATAAATATTTTATTTAAATTTCTCAGTAGACAAGACACTGAAAATCCTCTTTAACATCTTTTCCCTGTCAGGTCACTGCTGTGCCTCGTACCGGTCTGGAGACCACCCTCTTCCGAATGGTTTTGGGTGGTGAGGTGGAGCCCCGGGCTCTGACCCCTGCCGCCCAGACCTGTGCCAACAACTATCTGAATGCCACCCAGAAGAACGGCGACATTCTGGCCAACTCCACCAATGCCTGCGAGGAGGCAGCCAATCGTACTAAGGTGGCCTATGTCCAGAGCAGCAACACCACCGTCAACCAGATCCGGGCCCAGCTCCTGAGCCTCGAGCAGAACCTGCAGCTGTGCCGCAACGAGACCGACTCCGCCAGGTTCCTCAACTGCACCGTATCGACAGTGAGTAAAGTGATAACATTGTTATTGAGTTGGTAACTTGATTCCTACTTGTGTCCACTTGTGTAGTTTGACCAGAACCTGCAGCTGCTGGACACATCCAACTCGCAGGCCTACACCGCCCAGACCCAGTTCAACTCCAACGAGACCCAGGTGAGCGCCGCCAGGACCAATTGCATCAGTGCTGCCGTTAGCGAGGCCAAGGTTCAGTCCATTCAAATCGCCAATGATTTCGACACCTGCCTGGCCAAGATTTCTGAGCAAAGGGATATGATTCAGGTAGAGCAGAAGCCACAGCCCTTCCTGCCTGCCCAGATTTCCAAGGAGCAGGTTCCAGAGAAGCACCAGCAGGAGCTGGAGGATATGTCTCTGACCAACTAAGCTTTAACTATGCAAAATTAAAAAAATAAAGGTTTTCATTTAACAATAAACTGAGTGTAAATTGCAAACAATTATAGCATCGAATTGGAAATAGATTTCCTACACTTCTGGCAAATCTACAGATCTTGACTAGAAATATCACCATAATCTACACAATAATAACACACTTGAAGGTTATCAATTTATTTAATCTTTATTTATTAAATTGCTTTACATTTTTCTGGGAAATCTAACCGAAATTTTCCCTTGTTTTTAAAGGCCTATCGATCGGTGGAGTTTCCCAAGTCTCTCGATGTGTCACCTGTTTGTCTAAGTTTCCTGACACTTCACACCCAGTTCCGTCTTTTAAGATATTCGCTGGCTCTTATCATGGTGACGGCACTGCGACCACTTGGAGTCTTATCATCAATTAGAGTGCTTAAGACTTATCACCTGCCCGCCTGATTGTGTCTGCCGGGCCACGAACAATTATAGATAAATGCAATTAAGTAAGCCCGAATGGAAATAATATATTAAAAATCAAATGCGCACCGCCTTAAAATGGTCGCCTGTCAGAGGTTCCAGCTCAGAAGCGACTCGAACCGACCAGATGAAGGTTCTGTGCAAAATATTAGCGGTCTGCTCGCTGCTCGTCAGCGCCCAGGTGAGAACAGAAATGGCTTGAGGAGAAGCTATTATACTTTATGTAATCCCCACCTTCTGCTCCTTCAGGCGTTCGCGGCAGTTGGACCAGCCAGGAGCGCCAAGGCGGAAATCTGGCACTCCCTGTTCTTCGATGCCCTCACTGGAGGCCTGCAGGAGCCGCAGGCTGACGAGCTCGACAACGTGAAGGATTGCGCTGCCCTCTACTCGGTGGACAACATCGAAATCATATTGACGGCCAGCTATAAGATTCATCGTTGCTACAAAGTGAATGAGCGAGGCATCAATGGCCAGAGGGAACTCTTCGAGGGCGAGATGATTGCCTGTGCCGTCCTGGACTCGCAGAGCGACAGCCTCTCCTGCTACGCCGATGCGGTAAGTTCATAGAACAAATACTTTTAAAAAGATCTACAGCCGAGTCTGCTCTTCCTTCTAGGTTCTCAACCTGTTCAGCCAGGACAATGTGCGAGTAGCCCGCCAGGACTACCGTCGCAGCAAGGCCTGCGTCATCCGTGAGCTGGCCAAGGCTGTGGTCAAGCTGGACGAGGCTACCGACGAGCTGGCCAACTGCCTGGCCCAACAGCCGCCCCAGAACAGCACCACGCTGCCTCCCCAGAACACCACCGCCGGCGAGCCTGGATGGAACTCCACCCAGTGGCCAAACACAAACACCACTCCCAATTTTACCACCATTGCTACCACCACCATCTCTCCGCTCAACACCACCTGGTTTCCTACGAACTCTACTGAAGGACCCTGGGGAGGAAATACTACTGCCAATCCTTGGTGGCCCACCAACTCCACTGAGAATCCTTGGGATAGAAATACAACCTATCCATGGTGGACTACCAATTCTACTGAAGGACCCTGGGGAGGAAATACTACTGCCAATCCTTGGTGGCCCACCAACTCCACTGAAAGTCCTTGGGATAGAAATACAACCTATCCATGGTGGACTACCAATTCTACTGAAGGACCCTGGGGAGGAAATACTACTGCCAACCCTTGGTGGCCCACCAACTCCACTGAAAGTCCTTGGGATAGAAATACAACCTATCCATGGTGGACTACCAATTCTACTGAAGGACCCTGGGGAGGAAATACTACTGCCAATCCTTGGTGGCCCACCAACTCCACTGAAAGTCCTTGGGATAGAAATACAACCTATCCATGGTGGACTACCAATTCTACTCAAGGACCCTGGGGAGGAAACACTACGGCCAATCCTTGGTGGCCAACCAACTCCACTGAGAATCCTTGGGATAGAAATACAACCTATCCATGGTGGACTACCAATTCTACTCAAGGACCCTGGGAAGGAAACACTACTGCCAATCCTTGGTGGCCAACCAACTCCACTGAAAGTCCTTGGGATAGAAATACAACCTATCCATGGTGGACTACCAACTCTACTCAAGGACCCTGGGGAGGAAACACTACTGCCAATCCCTGGTGGCCCACCAACTCTACTCAAGGATCTTGGGATGGAAATACAACCTATCCATGGTGGACTACCAATTCTACTGACGCACCCTGGGGAGGAAACACTACTGCCAATCCTTGGTGGCCAACCAACTCCACTGAAAGTCCTTGGGATAGAAATACAACCTATCCATGGTGGACTACCAACTCTACTCAAGGACCCTGGGGAGGAAACACTACTGCCAATCCCTGGTGGCCCACGAACTCCACTGAAGCGCCTTGGGGAGGAAATACCACTTACAACCCATGGTTCCCAGCCAACCAAACTGTAGGTGGAAACACGACCTACAATCCCTGGTTCCCGACAAACTCCACCGCCGGACCTTGGACTGGAAATACAACCTACAACCCCTGGTGGCCCACGAACTCCACTCAAGGACCCAGCTACAACAGCACCCAGGGTCCATGGCTAGGAAACTCGACGACGGAGGCTCCCCGGTGGAACACCACGACTCCCAGCTGGAACTACACCACCGTCGCTGTCCGTACGACGACTGAGACCGGAAACTGGTTCAACCATCTGCTGAACGAGCTTGGAGACCTGTTCTAGACGCGAGGAAAGCAACGATAACTATTTGTCCACTCCCCGGAGAGAGAGTACAGTTGTTTAAGCTCTAGGCCTGGAAATAAATAAGTAAACTTATCAGCATTGAAAAGCTTTTGCGATTATTCTCGAGAGCCAATCAATGGGGGCCGTCGGTTGATAAGTTGATAAGCCATTGCCTCCAATGGCGAGGAGGAGAACCGCAAATTAGGCGGAGACCGCAGCCACCCGGAGCTCGGAGCTCGGAGCCTGGAGACCGAAAACCGGACTGATTAAGATTTATTAGCCAGCTGCGGAGACCACGTGTCGCAGACGGCTGGGGAAAATGATGGATTTCGGAGAGACGTCAGCAAAATATTGCCAATACTCCGGGCATGGCCTTGAGCCTTGGAGTGGCGTTGGACGAAGGACGTAGGACGTAGGCCGACGAATGTAGGGCGTAGTTGGTGTAGGCGCCTCGGCAAAAAAACCCGCATACATAACGAGCTGCTAGGCTCCATAATTAGTCAGGATCTGGCAATGGGGCTTCCGTAATGAGCTGCCTGGCTGTCCGCTGTCCTGTGTCCTCGGAGCTCTCAGTTAAACCAATAAAATAATCATGGATTAAATAAACGTTATTGGAGAGGCAAAAATCAGGGAAGAACTCTCTATAAATAGTCCGGCCAAAGGTTGAATAATTGCAAGGGGCTGACATTTGCATAACCTCCAGTCTGCCGGCCTGCTGTCAATGGAGAAGGGTGTCCTGGGCCGAGGGTTCCAGAGAGAGAGGGACCAGGTCCTGCTTTGCTGCCACTGTGGCAGCCACACAAAGGGAGACACTGACCTAAACAATGGAAGTATGCGCAAAACTTTTAACCTCGGCGCCAGTAGATAAATCAACCTGGATCATCACCCACAGCATTCGTTGTCAGCACACACCTTCATTGTGTGTGCGCTGGCTGGTCCTGCGAAGGGTAAATCCCCGCCAGACACATCTACACTGCCACAAAAGTTCCAGGGATTGCAATATTGAATCAATATGAATAGAAATCAAGGTTTGAAAATGAAATAAAAGTACATTTTGTAAATTGAAAATAACTATAAAAATAAATTTTTATAAAGCTAGTACGTGAATTTTATTAAATCCGATTTAAGTTATGAGTTTCAAGGTTTCTTTTCTTGCTCTTTCAAGTCAATGAATTTATATACTTATGTTCTTTACCTCTTTAGAATAAATTTTCACATCGTTTCTTTCAGTGTAGCCGCCCACGATTGCATTGGTGTTCTCCGAAGCTGCCAGTAACATTCTCGCCGGTGGGCAATGGGCTCCTGCAAACGCCTGTGTGTGAGTGTGTGCTCAAACATTTTCCCACACTGACCAGGACACTGCAGCTATAAATTGCAGCAGGACCTTTCGCGCCGTGTGTTTGCCAGTGTGTGTGCGTAAGTGTGCCAGTGTTTGGGTCAATATTTTTTCATGTTAATTCAACTTGCATGGCTGCGGCACACGGTGCGAATGTGTGATGTGCCCAGGACTCGTCCTCGTTCTCGGTCTCGGTCTCGGACTCCTGGAATGTAAATCAAGGCAGGCGCACATTTCAGGCAAGAGAGGGAAATTCGCCAAAACCAAATCTGAAACCATCTCTCTCTGTCTGTTTTTGGCTTTAACTTTTGGACCCCCAGAACCGAGAGAAAAGTTTTAATGGAAAACGCTCGAAATTAAGTGATCAATTAACATTAATTGCCGAATACAGGGCAGGAAACTTCATAAAAACGTCGGGTCGTTCTAGTCCTAGGTGATTAGATTAAAGACAAAGGATTGACCCTTTGGAAATCAAAAGTTTTACATCCTTTCCCAAACCCCCTCCTTCAAAACATAACACTAAACCCAACGATGAGCGTTACGATCTTCCCGGTGCCCTGCATTCTAGGTTCCCTCCTAAATAGCCAATTAAGATTTTTAACGATACTATGCCCGGCGACCGGCGAGCGGCAAACTTGAAATTAGTAAGTCATTAAAGGGAGCGTCCATCCAGGCAAAAAAGGAGCAAGCAGCCAGCAGCAACAGTCCTTCGCTCCTTAAAGACCCCAAAAGGTGCGACGGGGCGTGGCTGTTGTGGGAGACACAGCAGCTGACAGGCTGACGTTTGGGTAACTAATAGGCCTTATTTGCATGTTAATTGCTCTCGACTAAGTCAACACCACCAGGAGCAGCGGCATCAGGACCGACAGCAGCCGCATCAGGAGCATCAGCGAGGGTAAACGACAGCATAAAAGTATTATAATAACAGTAGCACAATTTTCCGGGCAACAAGAAAGCAGCAACAAGAATAATGAGCGGCAGTGCTGCCAGCAAGCCATTTAAAAAACAGCAAAGATCGAGCATTAAAAAAGGGGAAAAGAATTACAAGCAAGTTGAAGGGAAACGTTTTTCGGGGAATTTTTTAATTTTAACAGCGTTTTTGGAAGCTATTTTCATCCGCTTGTATAAATAAAATGAAGTTTATATTATAAATCAGTTGAAATTGATATTGGTTCATTGTTTTTACTATATTTAAACCCTTGCAGGGTACTATAATTTTAGTCAGAAGCTTGAAAATCAGTCAAGATTTGCAACTGAGTATGTAGTGGCTGTACTTTAACCAATGAAGTTCTACGGGGGTGCGGTTATTGCTAGGTGGAAACCTCTTAGTAAAACGACAATTTGCCAGCTCTGATAAACCAAGAAAATGTATATAAAGACGAAGAAAAGTCCCCTCGCAGACGTAGACATCGGGCGCTAAAAACAAATTCACGTTTTGCATTAATTTTTAGCAGCCAGCGACGCCGAAAAGTAGGCAACACTCCTCTAATGAACCCATTAAATTTAGCAGCCACATGAAATTATGCTGCCATTTTGGCAGCCACATCCACATTGTAACCCAACATTGATGTGCGCGTGTGTGTGTGGGAATGGGAATATATGCAAATAAATCGCTGGCTGACACATTCCCTGATTTTGCCCATAATTGTTTGTATATTCGTACTTCGTTTTCCGCACTCACACAGGACACACGCTGCGAAATGCTCGTATTTCACAGAGCCAGAGCCCGCAAACTATTTGCCTAATGACAAACATAAAGCAGCAGGCAACATTTTTCGCACAAAATGCAAATAAATAAATACTACTTCTTCTTTGCTTTTCCCTTTTTTTGTTGCCATTTATTTTAATTTCATTTTTTGAAAATCTGCATATGCATGTCGCTGGCTATTGCGGTTGGAAAAATATCAAATGGGCGGGAATATACTATAACAATTTCTCTAACTAACGCCATCGGCAGGCAAACTGAAACTTTACCAGGAATTATATTATATGCTGAAATTATGCAAAACTCCTGCGGATAACTGAAGCCAAAAGCCGGCTTTTTGTAACGCAACGAAAAATAATAAACCGGGAAATAAATAGTGGCAAAAATAATTCTAACATTTACTTTTAACAGCTGAAAATGATATTCCTAGAAAGTTGAGATACATATTTTTCAATTTTGTTATAGAATTAGATATCTTGATTATTACTGTTTAACCACACTAATAATTTATTTCTGAAAAGTGTAGAATAAAATTCTAAAATCAACCTAGAAAATGTATTGTGAAAATTCATCACTAAGCTTGAATAATTTATAAATAAATCCGCAAATACTTTAATGCTCTACGATTTAATTAAACATTATGATAATGCCAAAAGACCCCTTATCCAATCATATACATTAGACAAACTAAACGGAAACGCATGCAATTATAGAGACCGCACAAAAAATGAAACAAAGCAAATTAATTGAGCTGAAAATGCTAACCATTTTGTTAAATCGATCAAAGTTAATTGAAGTCAGGTCGCCGCCATTTGCATGTCATACATATTTAACCGAACCGAAACAGAGAATAAAAACACTCAGCATAACCGAGTGCAACAGCAGTGGAAATTAGCATAAACACGCAACATGCAGCTCGGGGGACGCAGAGACTAATCATAAAATTACCTTCGTGTTCGTGTTCCCCTGCAATTTGCGCATAGTTATGGAAATGTACGATTAACCGCTAACAAAGACAGTTTGGGGAAAAGTATGGAAAACAGCCATAAAACTCGAAAATCAAGCACATAATTCCAGCCCCAATTTGTGGCACACGCAACACGGCAAGAAAACAATTGCAAAGCTCCCAAGATTGGAGAAATAATACCACTGCATCGACGCTTCAACACATCATATAAATAAACCATTAATTTTCAATGAAAACGTGGAACCCTTTGCCACGTGCCAGCCAAGAAAAGAAAGGATATTTTTCAAGGGATCGACTGCGGAATAATCTGTAGGAGTAATATTTATATTTATATTCTATTTATTTATATTCAAGAATAATTCATAAGAAATAAAGATATTCAAACTGGGACTTTTATAGTATCTGCAGGACCTTGGCTTAATCCATTTATTTCCCTACATCCCGTATTCAATATACCCTCTTCCTATCCAGTATTCTTACGCGGTATAGAAACCAGGAACGAACCCAAATCACATGCAATAAAAAGTGTAATTTGTATAGTAAATATGTAAGTGAGGTGTGAAAGCCATAAAATCGCCGGCAGGGATGCCACGTGCGAGGTAACCAGGTAACCATGTATACCTGTGCTCACACTCCACGGCAGGAAGTCACATGCTTAGCGGAAGCTGAAGCTGCTAACTATGAAATAGTCGTAGTCGTAGGCAAGTTCATCCTTATCTTTACCGCAGGCCATGCCCATAAATTCACAAGTGCGCCCATTAACGCCGCCAGAGTCTGGCCGAAAAGTCCTTAAAGCATAAAAGCCGCGTCCATAAATTTGCCTGCTAATACAATGTCGCCTCCTTGGCCACCGCTCGAGCTCGAGCATAATGGCCTAAGTAAGCGGTTAACACTGGCGGCGAGGAAGCCCAAGGAAAACCCGAGGAAAACCCCATGCCGGAGACAGGAGACCGGAGACAATGGCTTTTCTCCGACTCGCGGTCTCAGCCGCAACTGCGGAAGACTCCATTAAATTGTCAATTGTAAAGCGAGCCACAGCCAGGAGTGAAATGAAATTGAATCGAACCAAAAAAAATAATAACGAAGAAGTATATATCG